TCAACGAAAGAGGAAGATGTTTTAAATGCTTATTATATTTAAAAATATCTTAAATGTATTTTAAATGATTTTAAACGCATTAAATATTTCGTAGACATTTTAAAAGGCCTGTAAAATCTTTTATTTTTAGTAAATTTCTCTTGAAATTTTAATCGACAATCCCCGTTCGTTCTAGCTAAAAATAAATATCATATATATATATATATATATATATATATATATATATATATATGTGTGTGTGTGTGTGTGTGTGTGTGTGTGTGTGTGTGTGTGTGTGTATAGAGAGAGAGAGAGAGAGAGAGAGATGGAAATCAACAACTGAATAATGATTAGCTACACACTACTTCTTCGATTATCCGGACATGAAATAAAGAGAAAAATTGAAACCATTCTAACATTTTTCAATTATCCGAACTGCACCCATTTGTATCAGACGTTAAACATTTTCGCCAAACGCGCATGCTTGAAAAATTCTTGTCAGCAGAAGTGACCATTTTCAGCTTTTGATCATGCTACGTTCTGTGAGCCGAAAGAGGCTAATACGCTTCTGCTGCAGGCTGACATCAAGAAAGGACGCTAAAGTTATCGCTTCTTGCAAATAGACGCACATGACGTGGACAGTGCACCTCACTCACTCGCTAATTCACAAGCAGAGTAAGTTAATTTTTTCCCTTCATTATTTACAAAGAACCTTATGAACACTCCATGAAATCTTATCTACACGAAAGATGTTTCTGGTAGAATAAATATTTCTGTCTTGTTTTGTTTCACTCGTGTTTGTCTATTTTCTCAACACCAGTGGCGGATTGACCAGGGTGCTAGCTTGCCAAATGATAAATGGCCCTCTGATGGAGTGTCCCCCACCGCCCAATATCAAATAAAGGAACAGACAACTGTTTTAGTAATGAAAAGGAATAATAACTTTATAAAGTCATCTGCACACTATCAGTTACTCAAGTTCAATGTGAGAGGACATTTTTAAAGCAAAAGATTATAAAGACATGGTTAAAGAATTCGATCTCTGAGGAGCATTTGGAATCATACATGTCGTTATCCATTGAATTGGATGTAGTAGCGATTATTGGCAGATTCAAACAATCATCTTGTAAACGCAAACGATTGTTCTTAATATAGTGAACTGCAAGCAATGCTCTACTCTGCTTTTGAACTATCTGTTAATGTGTAAATTGTGCAGTATACTATTAAAAACGCCAACCAATTACTTAAAAATAATTTTTAAAAGTCAATTATAACATTCTGTATTCACATTTGGTATTCACTGCCAGTAATGTGGACAGTATATATACACTAATTGTTTAAAAATACACATTTTTCCATAAAAAATATAGTACCCTTATATATATATATATATATATAGTCATCTACAGACAGACTGTTTCGCTGTATCACAGCTCATCAGTGTGCCTCTAGCTAGGATCGAAACCCGATTGAATTGGCGCCAGTTTGGGATTCTACCACTAAGCCATTGGCGCACGGCAGGGATGAAGGTGAATTTTAAGTGTATTTATTTTTCGATTTACCGAAGAGTCTTGCATTATTAGCCGTAATAATAATAATATATATATATATATATATATATATATATTAAATATTATATATATATATATATTAAATTTTAGTTATTCGTTAAGAAAATTAAATTATAGCATTATAATTGTGGGTAGGCCTTTGTCTCCTGGTAACTAATATTTTTAGACCCAGTTTGCTACTACTCAACAGTTTGTTTCGTTCAACATACAATCTATAAAAAACGAGTTAATATAAAATAATATTTGATTAAAAAGTTTAAGTAAATAAACGTCAATCTGATTTTTTTCTACTTACTTTTGGGAGAAGAGTATAAAAAGTCAGACGGTTTATTAAAACTTGTGTCATTTTGGGTGTAAAAGTTTGTTTTTTTTTTTTTTTGTTTTTGTTTTTTTAAGAATTGACTCTAAAAAGGACCGCCAGAAATAACTTAATTCTCTCAAATTCAGAAAAAAAAATATTATCCTCGTATTTTTTGTCCAATGAAAAGGGCGGCTTATGCTATCGGAAATTTGAAGATGAAGCTCGTTTATGGCCTCGTCTGACCATATTTAAGACGGATTAACGGATGAACAACAGAATGCCAGCTAGGGGAAGGAAGGCAAGAGAAGGACTTGGACATCATATATGAAGCAGGCGAAGCTGGCTGCGGAAAGCTTTTAGTAAAAGTAGCCAGAAGAGCAAAGGTCAGAAAGGTTTCAGCATTCTTAAAAACTACGCCGATAAAAAATATTTTACAGTAACGGAAAACTTCCTGGAGACTCTTACGGTTAAAGTCAAAAGAAACGCATGAAAGCCAAACAGAAAACAGAACGACATTTCAAAGGGATCGTTAACAGCTTCAGTGAACCACGTGGAAACCAAGCAGAAAGAAAACGGAATGACATTGCAAAAATATTGTTAAATCTCCCTGAGATTCTTGTGGGTTAAACATATAAGTTTTTTTTTTTTCGTTTATCTATTAGGCGTGTGCACTTTTTTTTTTCTAATTTCTTCCTTTTTTTCAACAGTTTTTGTATCATCTCAATTTTTTTTCTTTTATGATTTGAAAAAGTTTGTAAATTTTTTAAGCCCAATTATTTCTATAATTTTGTTAGGTTATCTTGCCTTGTTCATAATAAGGCACATGAAAGAAAATTTTTTTGGAAGGCTTTTTTTGTGAAATTTGTACTTTGTTATATTGTTTTATATCTGTATAATGTTTGTGCCTTTTAAATTTCGCAAGGTAGTTGCGATTTTCGTTTGTTATCGTATGCCCCTTTTTAATATTCCGGATAAGAGAGGGTGACGTTCTCCCTTTCCATCCCAGGAAAAAAAATCTTTTAAAATCCCTGACCTAGTAACAATAGTTTGGTGACTATGCGGTTAGCTGTGAGTTCATTTACTTCGTGTTAACTTTACACATTCTAATATTTCATCTCATATAAACGTTAAGAGAATCTAGAAAATCATAACGTTTGATAAAAATTGACAAACGTTTTAGCTGATTGCGCTTTCAGCCTAAAGCTAGCCTTACAAATTAATTTACTTTTATCCAGCATCGGGATTAACGGCAAAAAAACGCTAGCCTAGTCGCAAACAAAAATTGGCACATTTTCATCATAAGATTAAACTGGACAAAAACATGAACAAAGTGTTTAAAAATGTTATTTGATGATATAAATATTAAATCTTTTGCAGATGATTACTTGCAAGGTGTCCCAATAATCGAGGAAGAACTGGACCTGCAAACGCTCTATTTCCGAGCACTCTTCACCTTTAAGCAAAGCACATTTTAAACAATTACGTAAGTTCAAAAGACCTGTCTCATTGACTTTAAGGTCCCGCTCGTCATCTACTATCTATATTTCTCATGTTGTATGTCTGTGTGTCTGTTGTGGGCGTTGTTACATCGCCCAGGCCGCATTTCTCACCCGATTTCGATGCGGTTTTCACCACAAGTTTGCAAATGGCTGTCGTAAGGGCATGACGGGGCCCGATTTTTGAGTTCGGACTCAGGTTCCGAAAAAAATCGACAATCGAAAAAATCTGCTGACAGAAGGAATGATCGCATTTCAAGCAAATTTGACACCCTCTTAGAGTCTACCATTAGAAGTGTTGTCCAGAAGTTTCATGACCACGGACCCCTAAACAGCGCGGAAAATCGATAAAATCCAAAAACTGATACGCCCAGATTGCGCCTGAACCGCATATCGGTTTTTAGCGAAAACCGAATGGATTTATGAGGAGGCCATTGGGAGTCACCATGTGAAGTTTCAACTCTGAGCGTCCCCTAAACAGAGTGCAAATTGACAATCGGTCAACCCTTAAAAATGTTTTTTTTCCGGTTGGGTATTTCCTAAATGCAGATTAATTTAAGGTCACGCTATGCGCGGGAAGAAACAGGTCAGTGCGTGCAGTGGAGTGGAAGAAAACATTTGACCTCAATTTCTGGAATGGGTGCGGGGCCATTGAAATTCGGCTTTTTTTTATCCCTGCTACCAGTTCTGACTTTGAGCCACAAATGACATATTCGACTTTGTCAACACTTTTGCTTTAATCGTCGCATCTTACCAAAATAAGCACTTCCTTTATTCGCGTCTTTACAGCAGTCCATTTTCCAATTCTTTAAACCTTTTCCCTTAGCCCAGGGTGCATCCCAGACCGGACGAGGAGTTTTTGCGCTAAAACAGCAGGGTTTCCTCCTAATCCATTTCAAAGCTAATGCCGGCAAACGGTTAGCGGCTTTTCGCAAACGCCCCATTGCAGCTTCTTGCATTCTCATCGCCGGCATCACGTGCGTTAGAACCAAGCTGCATATGCAGCAGGCAGCTTGACCCCGTTTACAGCCAAGCCTTGCGCTTGCCAAATCATGCGCGCGTGCGAGAATGCGCGCTAGCATCTTCCATTTTGCGTGAGCTCATGGCCATTGTCCAGGCTACACCAATCAATGACAAGTCACACTCCCTTTAAATACGTTCAGTGCGGCTGCATCCGCACTCACGTCTTGATTTGATCGCCATTAACTCATTTGTCCTTGGATTAATTGACAGCTTCCTGCTACCGCAAGTTACCTATTTGCTTAAGCGTTTGCATTACCCATTTTATCTCTACGTGCTGCCTCTACTGCGCAGCTCAGTCCATCTTGGCGTTCTATACCTATTTCTATCTTTTCGTAGTTCAGTTTTGCTATTAGTTAACTGCTGTCGCAAGTTACTTCTCTTCTGCCTTTACTACGCGGCCCAGTACACCTCAGTGTTTCACTACCTTTTAACCTTCAACGTTTTGGTTGCGTAACCTCTTCCTACAGAGACGTTTTCGTGCTGCCAGAAAGCACGGCCCATAGCTAGGAGAAGCTTTTTCCATACCGCTCCACTGCATTTTTAGTTTTCGTATACAACGAGGTTGCACCGCTTCAGCTTCGGCATCAACTTCTATTCGCATTCTTACACAGCATTTCTACAACCCTTCAAATGGCTCCTACACGACGAACATCCGCACGTCAGCAACTGAAGACCCCTAATACCGTTAACGTTACACATGCAGAACAGCCGACTGCGGAGGAGCACATAATAACTTCGGTTACAGATGATCATATAGCGTCTACTTCAAACTCTGCTTTGCAATATTCTACGTGCCGTGGCGATGACCAAACCGGCAGCTCTGCAAAAACACCCAAGCGAGGCAACCTTAGCAGGCGTTCTAAAAAAGCCTCACCAGCTATGGGGAAACGGCTGGTGTCTACTTCAACCTCTGCTTTGCACTCTTCTGAGTGCCGTGGCGATGACCGACCCGGCAGCTTTGCTCAGCGTGCCAAAATACCACGGCGAGGCAACCTTAGCAGGCATTCTAAAAGAACCTCTACGGCAAAGAGAAAGATAGAGGCCTCTTTGAGGCTTTCCAGTCAATCTCAACGGAGGCCGTATGTTTTGTCACATGAAACGCTTGGTGAGCATAACTACCGTTTGTACTGCAAATCAGTTTACACATATTCGTTGAAAAATAAGAGGAAACTACCTAAACGCTTGCAAGACAACAAAAAAGCGGCTTCATTACAAGCACTTTTGCGGTCTCGACAGAGCACGCATCGAAAAGCTACTCGCAATGCAGCCGACGCTGCTGCAACTTCCATTCGACAGTCCAAGAAGACCACGGCTGAGAAAACCACACGTCCATTCGACGGCCCCAGGAATCCATGGCTGAGAAAACCGCACACCATACTTCTGCTGCGAGGGCGTCGGAAAGTTCCGCACAAAAGCGCACAAGCCGGCAACAGGATGCAATTTCTACTTCCGCTGCTAGAGCTGTAGAAGGACCTATTGAAAGGCTTGAAAGGTTGCAGACTGATAACCAGCGTCGCCATGCACAGCGAGGGCTCTGTAGCCCACCAAAGCAGTTTTGGTTTAAGCTGGCGTCAACTATGAGCCAGTATTGAGGCTTTCCGGTCGCAAAGACCTCCAAATAGGATCCATGTCAGTTGTCTGTGGGCATTGCAGTGCCAAAAAATGGCCTGGAGAGTCTGCAGTTTTGTGTTGTAAGGTACAGTGGCCACCTTTTCAAGAGCTACCTGCTCCGTTGAAAGCTCTGTTGGAGTGTTCCAGTCCAGACTCCAAACATTTCCCCGCAAAAATCAGGCAGTACAATTGTGCCTTCCAGATGACCTCTTTTGGTGGTAATGCCTTCCGCGAAGTCGGTTGGAATCCCACCTTCAAGGTTCAAGGTCAGGTTTACCACCGGATTGGGTCTCTTTTGCCGGAAACTGCCACTGATTCGGCCTTTCTACAAATATACTTCATAGCTGACTACATTCAACAGGCAGATGCCCGCATGGGCATTATTCCCGAGAACGATACAGGCCAGGACAATCATCCTCGCAGGGATATCATAATGAGTCTCCAAACAAATGCTCCACGAGACAAACAGCTAGGGCCGCAGTTTTAAGTATGCTCTCGAAAATAACTCTTCTTCTGATTTCATTATTGAAATTGAGGCTGAAAAACGGCCTCAGGGAGAGCACGAACGTCGTTACAATGCTCCCGCAAGTAACGAAGTTTCCGTCATTGTCAGCGGTGATCAGCACAACAGACGTGACATTGTTATCGAATCGCACGGCAGTGGGCTCCGAAGGATCAGTGAAATGCACCGGTCCTACGATGCACTGCAATACCCACTTCTCTTCCCTTACGGAGAAGATGGGTACCAATTTGACATTCTGCCAAATGTGTCCACCTTAAAAACAGTGTCTTGCAGGGCTTTCTACGCCTACCTATTGATGGTACATGAGGGTGCATTCAATCATCTTCATCGAAGCCGGCAACGTTTCCATTAATTCATAGTAGACATGGCTGCTAAGATGGGATCCGAAAGACTCTGTTACATCAGATTGAATCAGACCAAGTTGCGCTGCGACTCTTACATTCACCTCCGTGAAGCTTTACGAAATGACGCTGATCCATGCAATATAGGCAAGATGTGCATACTACCTGCAACTTATACTAATTTGGATTGAGGCCACAGAAATCGATCATCTTATTCCTGCTGAAATTCCTGATCCGTCGGCTGACCCTGAATTGTAAGAAATAGTGACAACCAACATAATTCATGGTCCCTGCGGGTCGCATTACAATTACACTAGCTGTCACAACAGCGACGGCAAATGCACCCGGTAGTACCCACGAGATTTCGTGAGCGAAACCATTACAGGGAGCGATGGTTATCCACTGTACCGGCGAAGGAGTCCCGCTGAGGGAGGATTTACAGCCGTGGTAAATGGCCACCAAGTGGATAACAGATGGGTAGTGTCATACTGTCCCCTGCTAACAAAACCGTTCAATGTGCACATCAATGTCGAATATTGCCATTCAGTTCACTCCATCAAGTATGTATGCAAGTACATCAACAAAGGAACTGATGCTGCAATGTTTGGTATTAGGCAGGAAGGTTCCGTAGACGAAATCCAGGACTTCCTTGAAGGGTGCTTCATTAGCAGCACAGAAGGCCCTTGGCACATATTCAGCTTCCCTGTCCACGAACGCTTCCCAGCAATCGTCCAGTTTGCTAGGCACCTAGAAAACGACAAACTTCGTTATTTTTCTGCGGATACAGCAATGGATGTGGCTGCGCGTACCAAACACAACGCTTACAGCATTCTTCAAACTTTGTCGACAGGACAAATTTGATAGGACTCTACTGTACCCAGACGTACCTTCATACTACGTGTGGACAAAAAAGAACACCTGGGCTCGGCGGAAGTGCGGGGCCAACGTCGAGGGCTATCCAGGCGTCAAAAAAGACGCCACACTTGGAAGGGTATTCACGGTTCCCCCATCGCGACAGGAATGTTTTTACTTGCGACTCCTTTTGCACGAAGTTAGTAGTTCAACGAGCTACAATAACTTACGGACGGTTAATGGAGTTTTATGTGACACTTTTCGTGAGGCCTGCCTCCGTCTCGGCCTTTTTGAAGACGACAGCCAGTGGGATGCCACAATGGCTGAGGGAGCTCTTTTAAAAATGCCCTCTGCTTTGCACCACCTCTTCACCACAATCTTACAAATGTGCGAACCCAGTGATCCCAAATCACTTTGGGACAAATACAAGGACTTTTTGTCCGAAGACATACTCAGGGAAGCGCAACTGCTGTGTCCAACAATGGTTCTTATATTCAACGATGAAATTTACAACAGGGCGCTTATAATCATTGAGAACCTGTTTGTTGAAGTGGGGGGGATCTCGCCGCTATTGGGCTTCCAACACCAGATCGTATGGCTTCCTCCAGTCTCTCACCTGAGATTGTGCGGGAGACATCCTACTCTGTTGAGGTGCTCAACGCCTATGTCACAACAAATGAGCCAAAACTTCTCATAGACCAAAGGCCGCTGACGATGCGGTTCTTGCATCCACCAGGCAGGATACAGGATCAATTTTCTTCCTGGACGCGCGTGGGGGAACGGGAAAAACGTTCGTAACAAAACTGCTTCTTGCAGAAATTCGGCGCCATGGCAGAGTAGCACTAGCAGTAGCGTCTTCAGGCATTGCTGCCACATTACTACCGGATGGCCGAACAGTGCACACAACGTTTAAACTTCCGCTTGACCTGATTAAGGCAGAAACAGCTGTATGCAGTATAGCCAAGCAATCAGGTCTAGCGGAGGTACTCAGGCGATGTAAGCTCATCGTCTGGGATGAATGCACTGTCAGTCCCAAAACTGCACTCGAGGCTGTAAACCGCTCTCTAAAGGATATTCGAAACTCCGATGACCTTATGGGAGGTATAACTGTCCTTCTATCCGGTGACTTTCGCCAGACCCTCCCCGTTGTACCTAAGGGGACAAGGACCGCCGCTATTCGAGCGTGCTTGAAATCGTCACAACTTTGGCCCACTGTTAGACCATTGCACCTTACCACCAACATGCGTGCACACCTAACTGGCAAGGTTGGGTCCGCCGAATTTTCGAATTAATAATTAGCTCTTGGCGAAGGTATTATTCCAGCGGACACTAATGGATTTGTAAACGTTCAAGAGTTGTCTACAGTGGTCACAACGCCAGCAACACTCAGGGAATCAATTTTTCCTGATCTTCAAACCAACTACAACAATATTGAGTGGCTTGCTGGGCGGGAAATTCTTGTCCCCAGAAAACACCACTGTGACAGCCGTTAATAGACAGCTTCTGGAAACTGTGCCACGGGTGTTGCACGTTTACAAATCCATTGACAGAACTCTAAACCCCGCTGAAATGGCGAACTTTCCAGTGGAGTTCTTAAACAGCCTCCACCTCGCTGGTTTCCCTCCTCACATTCTGGAACTTAAAGTGGGGATCTTGGTTATGTTGCTTAGAAACCTGCGTGCACCGAAACTCTGTAATAGAACCAGGATGGTTATTCAGGCCCTACACCCAAACATTATTGAGGCCAAAATTATAACTGGCTGCGGTAAAGGGGAGCAAGTGCTTATCCCAAGGATGCATTTGTATCCATCAGATGCCGACGTACCCTTCACTTTCAGAAGATCCCAATTCCCAGTCGCACCCTGTTTTGCTATGACAATTAATAAGGCCCAAGGACAAACGTTGTCTGTCACTGGTGTACACTTAGAGGAGCAGTGCTTCTCATACGGCCACCTTTACGTAGCCTGCTCTCGAGTCAGCAGGCGCGAGGATGTGTTCCTTTATTCACCCTCGCAAAAAGCTAAAAATGTGGTCTACACTAAAGTCCTCAGCCTCATGCAAAAAAGTTGTTGTGGTATTGGACGTAGGCGTTTTGCAGCGTAGTACTTCCGGCCATTTTGTAAAACTATCTACCACTATTAAGTAATAATAATCTTCTACTGGACCAGCGAAATCAATGTGTAATCTTGTCCATGGATGATCCGTCTTGGGCCATGGTTTGTGTACTATAGATGGTGCCTTAGCTGCTAACGCACACCCTTTACATCGATGAACCATGTTTGCGATATCCACATCCATTCCTTTCCAATATACAAAGCTTCGCATTAAGCTTTTTGTTCTATTAATACCCGGGTGACCCATATGAAAGTACCGTAGTATTCTTTTCTGCAACTTTTTTGGTACTACTACTCTCTCACCATATAATAAAACTCCGTCACCTATTGAATAAATCTCCTGCACTTTTTGGTCATTTGCTACCATTTTGCTTTTTATTTCTAAAATGAAATCATCGCTTTCAGCTTCTTTTTTAATTTCCTTTATGTAACCGGTAGCTCTCTTACAATGTTGTTTACCATGTTTTTCACCTCATAATCTGCTCTGATATTTGCAATAATTGATTCTTCGAATCTTTCTTCTTGGCTCGCTACGAGTCTTGATAAACTATCCGCATGAATTATATTTTTGGATGATAAGTGCTTTATGTGAAAATCATAATTGAGAAGAATGGTTCCCCATCTCAACAGACGATTTGCCGTATAGACGGGTAACCATTTCTTTGAACCAAAAATAGTGATCAGAGGTTTATGATCCGTTTCAAGCATAAAATGTCTGCCGTGGATGTATCTATGAAATTTTTGTATGGCAAAAATGATACTCAGTGCCTCTTTTTCCTTCTGGGAGTAACTTCTTTCTCCTGGGAGCAAAGTTCTCGAAGCATGTGCAATTGGTTTTCTAGAACCATCTGGCATTATGTGTTGAATACACGCTCCTATCCCGTATGAACTAGCGTCACTTGCCACTACAATATCCAGTTTTGGATTGTAATGGGTTAAAAAGAGGTCGGACGTAAGCATTTTCTTTATTTCATCAAAGGCTTTCTGACATTCTACCGTCCATTTCCATGCCTTGTCTTTTTTTAGCAGTTCATTCAACGGAGTTCTTGAATTGTACATTCCTTTAATGAACGCTTGATAATAATTTGCAAGCCCCAGAAAACTTTGTAGCATCGCCACATTAGTGGGCGTCGGCATGTCTCTAATCGCAATGGACCTTTCCGGATCTGGACATCTGCCATTTTTGTTGATTATGTGACCTAAATACTTAATTTCCTCCAAACCAAATTCGCACTTTGACTCTTTGACTTTAAATCCAAAGTCCTAAATCTTTTTAAATACTTGATTGAGATGCTCTCGATGTTCGTCGACGGTTTCGCTCCTTACTATGATGTCGTCTAAGTAAGCGCACGCAAAGTCTAAATCATTCAACATGACGTCCATAGCTTGTTGCCACTTTAATACCAAAAGGAAGCCTGTTGTACTTGAATAACCCTCTATGCGTGTTTATCCCTAGTAACTTCGAACATTCCTCTTCGACGGGAGTTTGGAGATAGGCATCTGATAAGTCGATTTTTGAAAATATAACTCCACCATTTAGCTTGTTAAAAATTTCCTCCGGACTCGGTAACGGGTAATGGTAGTCCTTAATTACCGAGTTCAACCCTGTCAAAAAATCGACGCAGACTCTGACTTGGTTTGATTTCTTTTTTATGCACACAATCGGCGCAGCCCATGAATTAGATTCTACTTTCGAAATAATTCCCATTTTTTCCAACCTATCAAGTTCTTCGTTAATTTTCTCTACACTTGCGAAAAGCACGTTACGTTTCTTTTAAAAATTGGCATAGTATTTTCCTTTAATTCAAATTTGGCTTCAAACTTGTTACATCTTCCAAGACCAGGTGTGAAGGTTTCCGGAAACTTTTTTCTTTAATTCCTCTTTAATGTCCTGTCTTGTTTGCGTATTACTTTCTACTTTTCTGCAGAATGAGTTTAACGGTTTATCCCACAATTCGAATGTTTCAATAAAATCTGTACCCATCAAGTTTTCTCCATTTTTCAGAATGAAAACTTTTATTTTTTTAACTATCTCGTTCCATTTCATGGGAAGTACAACCTCACCTTCGAAGTTAATTTCCTTTCCAGCTACTGTTCGAGCGCGTTTCGTTGACTTCATTATTGTAGGCCTTTTTAAAGTTTTCCATGTTTTATAGTTCATTATTGTTAAATCTGAACCCGAATCGAGTTGAAATTTGATATTCTTTTTAAATATTTCAGTCGTCACATACTTCCTCAAATCTCTATCTGATTTGATATTTGAATTTGTTTGTCTAATTCGGCTATTGACTTTTTTCGTTTTACAACACGACCCTTTGTGACCATTCTTGTGGCACACGAAACATTTTTATTTCTATATGGGCAATTTACCCCCCAGTGTCTTTCGTTGCACCGTCTACAATTGTATGGTGGAACCTTTTTTTTCTCCTCGTTCTTTTCATTTAATTTTTCTTGTTTATTTTAAAATACGCCGAATTTTTACTCCAATTTTTTTTGATGGGTAATTTAATTTTTTTTTTTATTTTTTTAATATAAGCAATGCCAGCTTCTTCGATTTTTGAGACTCTTTCTTTAAACTTACGGCCCGCTGACACTCCTCTGCTAACTTTTTGCAGAGTAAGGTTTTGTTCAGATTCGAGTTTAGACAAAACTTTACGTCTTATTTCGGCACTCTTACTGGATACCAGTCCTTGCAAAAATTAAACACTTGAATTCTTCAACCTTAATCTCTGCCAATCTGAAATTGTCACAATGTCTATTCACTATAGATGCATATGTTAAGTAGTCCTGATCGTCGGATTTAGCGACATTTATGCATAACCATCGCTTATGCCAAAGCGACATATTTGCTCCAAACAACTCCTTTAGCAATTTCACTGTTTCCGAGAATTCCAATTCATTTGTTCTTCTCGGTAGAATAAAATCTACAAATTTGCTATGTTCTGCTGTACCTAGCTTTCTTAGTAATAGACTGACTTTTCTTGAATTCGACCACTTTTCACAGTCTGTGTAGAAAATATCTTCATATCGTTTAAAGTACGCTTCAAACGTTTTTCCTTCGTCTGGCACATAATTGAAAGTTTCCAGCGAATTAAATATAATGTTATTAGAATATGAAGAGTTTCCTTCATTTGCCTGATTGTTGTTTAATTTCTCCAGTGTTAACTTATGAATTTCTAAAACCTTGATCTGCATTTCTTCCTGTTTTTCCAGTCTTTCCTCTTGCTTTTCTTAATATTTTTGCTGTCTTTCCTCTTGCTTTTCTTGATATTCTTGCTGTCTTTTCTGTTGTTCCCTTATTAATAAGGCAAACTGTTCACTTTGACGTTGCTGACTCAACTCCTCTTGCTTTTCTTGATATTTCTGCTGTGCTATTTGCTGTTCCCTTATTAATAAGGCAAACTGTTCATTTTGACGTTGCAGACTCAACTGCTGGGATTTGAATAATTCAGCTTGACTCAACTGCTGGGCTTTGAATAATTCAGATATGACTTTGGATAATTCATCCATCTTTAGCTGATAGTGTTCATGCAACAAAGAATATACTTTTAAATTGTGTATCCACGAATATAGTATAAGCTGA